TTTTCCCTCTCTTAAGTCTATTCTTGCTTTCTGTTTTATTATGATGTCTTCTTCCCCTTCCAGCAGCTCAGTTTTTGATATTGGAATGTCTCAGAGTTTTCTCCCAGCTATCGTGCTGTCAAGCAAAGCCTTTAATTCACAAAGTTCTGCAGTCCAGCATCAGAATCCCATCCTCAAAAGCTGCTGTGGCTTTTCCTCCCAGTCTTCCTCCATGTTCCAGAACTGGAATCTCTAGATTTCAACTTGAGGAATTACAGGGTGGGTTTTGACAGAAATACAAAGTAGTAATGTAGACAGTTTTTAGTTGCTCCATTTATAAAATAATTTGCCAGGCTCACCTTTATATTGTAATTACAAATATAACTATAAATTGTTAATTAATTTAGCACAATGAAATGGGTATAAAAACAGATTAAAAGGTAAGTGGCTGTTAAAGTATAAAAGCAAATGAATAGCTATCAAGTAGGTCTAAAATTATAAATAATGAGATTTTTCAATTTTGAAAGATTTTCAAATGACCTTTTTTTTTGTTTTTACAAAATTACTTTATGGATTTGGGTAGCACAACTAATAGAATCTTTCCTTCTGATTCCAAAATAAAGAAATAAATCAGTTATCAGAACAAAATTAACATTTTCCTGAAATCACCAAAAATATTGTGGGTATGTTTTTGTATGTGGGTATGTGTGCTTGTATCTGTGCATCATTTTAATTTCAAAAAAAAAAGTTACAATTCTACCATATAGTTCTTTGGAATCTAAAATAATCTTAATCTTATTTATTATGAGACACAATATTAATTTTAACAATACTTCGTGAATATGTATTTTGTAAGAAACAGAGACATATTGAACATATAAAATGCACTATAAACCAGTGGTAATTGCAGGGCACACACAAATTTAACAAAGATTTCAAATGCTAAAAGCACTCAGAAAATAGTTACATAGCACTTTCTTCTTTCAAATATTCAAAATAGATTATTTTTCCCTCTTTGTCTTTTCACTTTTCTATAATCTTTCTCAACATGTTTCATTCAAACTGTTTCCTGATGAAACAGGGAAATTATTTAGTGAATAAACAGATCAGGGCACTTTTAAGAAATCAAATTTTAGAGAAAAAGTTTTTGCTGCTATTTAATAGGATATTTTTGATGATCACTATAAAATATTAGGTGTGGAAAGAATATATATATATATTCTACTTCTATAACAGAAGTATAATAGACAGCTCTCATGGAAGCACTTCACATACTTACATTGAATATGCCTTTCATTATGGTGGTAAAGGCTAATAATTTAACCTATGTATTATTGAGTAGAGCTTTCAGAAATAATTGAGTTCACCATAATTTATTTCTAAATTTGTACATACTGACTTGCAGTTACTCTGAGGCTGTGAGTACATTTGATTCTCCCTTGGAATATTGTGATAAATACACCTACCAGTGTTTAAAAAATTATAGCACATTCAGTAAACTTGGTATGAACTCATATATAAATTGCATTTTTCCAATCTATAGAAAAGTTTGCTGTAATCAGATTCTTTTTAATGTGCATTTCATTTGCAATTTCATGTTTTCATTTCATGTTCCAGTAGAATAATAGTCCAAGCGGGTATAAAATCATTCAGTGCCTTATATTACATTATATTATTATGGAATATTTGTTGTAATTGTTGCTTCCATCTTATTATGGAATATTAAAGAATTGCATTCTATGTATCATTTGTGAATTGTAACATACCATGCAAATTTTATTACAAAACAGGGAATTTTAGCTAACTCTATATTTGAATGTTACATTCATTTGACCTTGCTATATTTGACTCCATAAATCTTTGTAATAGATTTCATTACTTTTAGTCATTAACGTGTGAAAAAGCTATTTATCATGCATATTTTCAATATGCCCAGCCATTTCACAATTATCCTTGTAGCTTGACATGTACATACAAGTTTGTTTGACTTTTCTAAAATTATTAGTGAACTAATTTATTATATCTTTTAAAGAAATATATTTCAAATATGAAATTTTGAAAACCTACTGGCATTTACAGGTTTTTTCCTTCTGTGCTAATTATCTAATATCGAATTAGCTTTGTAAACTGACTTTTAGCTGGTCCATGTGGAAAGGGATATAATGTAGATGCTTTGCTGCACTCATTGTAGTCTGTGTGTGTAGTTTGCTGCATTTAAAAGAAAAGTAGAGAAAAGCTGAAAAAGCAATGGATGTAAACTTCATCTCTTTGGTCATGTCTTAATATTTTTTCGTTTATCTGCAGTTCTGTTACGATGTGTGTGCATTATATTTTAGGGCTGGGATAGCATTGTGTTATAATCAGACAGAAGCCGTGCAGGATATATTTATTTGCTGCATTTTCATTTTTATAAAAAAATATACAGCATTTTCTATAAATATTTCAAATACACAAATTAAATATCGAAATTCTGTTACATGCTTCTTCGGTTATGAACCTGGCCATCTATTTAGATCAATGGAAAAGGTCTTCTGAAAATGTCCATACTGCAAGAAACTCAATTATTATGTGGGAAAGTACTTTCTCTTTTATAGTTCCCAGGCAATGGAATGAGCTCTAAGGAAGTGATAATAACAAATAGCTTTTACCAAGGTTTTAATTATTAATTATTTTAAATGACTGATTTTGATTTTGATTTTGTCTTTGTTATGCTTTGTATTTTTCATTGCAGTAAACTATCTTGAGCCTCCAAGATGTATTGTCCACAAGCTGTGGTTGGCATTTTCCACACTTTTGTTTTTGATTAATCTTAAACATTTTCATAATCATTTTATTTGCATGAATATGTCATTGTTTTTTAACTTATGAGCTGCTCAGAATCACATTAGTGAGATGCACTGCTATGGAAACAAACAAACAAACACTTTGAAAAAAAGACCAAGATAATTCTAGCAGTGTTCAGGAAATGATATTCGGTCAGGTGAGTTGCATTGGAAATAAGGAAGAATAAATATTGAGATCTATAAGAGAAAAGAAATCAAAGTCTGAGCCAAAGGTCTTTATATATAACATAAAGAATACAAAGGAAAGCCATTAAAGAATCTTACATTAATAGCACGAGTTGTTACAGCATTCCAAAGCATATTCTGTGGAACTACCATTTATATTATTGTCTAAGATGATGATACAGAGGAGAATTTCATCTATATTTTTTCTATTATTAAAAAGAAAAACTATTTTAGCAATTCATAGAGGAACAACTTGAAAGAATACAAATGTTTTCATTGACATTAGAAGGGTATAGCGTGATGAATGTTGTACTGTGACATTTCATTATAGTGAAAACATTACAGGAATCATGGTATAAATAGTGGTATTCCATCCTCACTATCACCTCTTCCAAATTATAGATGTTGATCTAGAAATATCTACAAAACTAAAATGTATACATGGTAATCTAGATAACAAAGCCAAGAATTGGGAGCCCAGAAATGGGCACCGCGGAAGCTCTTGCTAATTGACTGAAATGAAATCCTGAACTATTGACTAATCTTTATCTGTGCTACAGTAATGCGCTGCTCTCCCAAGCTATTATCCATGGCAAAATAAAATCTATTTTCTGCAGCTGAAAAAACTCTTTTTACAATGGACATTGTCAATACAATAGATTGGTAAAAATAAAGTACAATTCATGAATTGAACCTCCTGGGAAAAAAAGTTTAAAATTGTTCCCTACAAATACAAAACACTAATTGATATGAAGAGGCATCATGCCATTAAGGTGTCAGTCCATTAAAAGAAAGCCCAAAATCTGTAGTTCAGTCATACTTTTATTAGGATCAATAAAGTGACTCAGATATTTTGAGTTCTCTAGGACTTTTCTTCTGGCAAAGTGTCATGAATGATGGAAGGCAAAGTAACAGGAAAGTTCAGTGAGACCAAATGGATCAACAATGAGCACAGTTCAAATTCAAAGTAAAATATAGGCTGTGTTCCATGTATTATCCATAGAAGTTTTCACCGCACTGTATAATATTAACCCTATCTTTAAAGGACAACAAAAATAGTTGCTGCCTTCAATGCTATGTTTTCACATCAAGGGAAAAAGCATATTTTCTCCAGCTGTGTGGGACCGGCAGCCAGGCATGGGTACAACTCCATCTGATAATGAGTGGGACCGAGTCTGCAAACTGTTAAGCACCTCCTCCTTCCGTTGCTTCCCAGCTTTCAGACTCGGTCTGATTGGAACAGACGCTTTTTTTCTGAGCTGCTGTTCCTTTGCTACTGATAGCCATTGCTATCCCAATTGCTGGTTGAGTGGTTTCGGCCTTTGGCGTGAACTTAGTTCAGTGATCCCAGTTTGTTTTGAGCCTGAAGCAAATTGAGATATGTTTGCTTGAGGGTACATGTACGGTATATTGGCTGTTTCCTGATTTTTTGTGAATAATGTTATATTTACATTGATTTTAAATGCAAAAGTTAAAATCTACTTGAATTTAAAATGCACTTGAAGTATTTGTTTTTTTAAAATATAGTTGTCTGTATAATAAATCAGGACTGTAGATGGAGTTATAAACGTATAATGAAATTGGAGTGGAACTGTATATTTTAAAATGAAAATAATTTTTGACATCTAAAGATGGATTGGGAAGATATAAAGTAACTAAATTGCAGGTGGAAATTACTAAAATTTCCATTTCAGAAGGTAAGTGAGTGGGTTGCGTTTTGCTTCTATTTCTATTAAATGGAGAATTATGTACTTGGGATATTCTGCATTATTGTTCCATGGCTAAATTTAATTTCTAATGAATTTTTATATGTCCTTTTAAATTTATCTGACTTCACTGTTTCCTAAACCAAAAACAAAGTAAAACAATTAAGAGCTTATTAAAATATTCATTTATATTGTATTTTAAAATATGAATGTTGGCTATAGAATAACATGTAAATTTATTCACTGATCATTATAGTTTTTTTCGCCTAATATAACTTGTGAAATGATATATTTTCTTTACCAATAGCAATGCATCTATTTGGCCTCAACTGGCAATTACAACAGACTGAAAATGACACGTTTGAAAATGGAAAAGTGAATTCTGAGACTGTGCCAACACACACTGTATCATTACCTTCTGGTGAAAATGGTAAGAGAACACATAATTTGAATTTAGTTTTTTTTTAATTCCAGTATATCATGTTTTTAAATATTCTCTGCTATTAGAAATCTAAAACTATAGTTTTCTAAAGCTATCTGAATGATCTTGAGCTAGGCCCTCGCTCTCAACCCAACTCTCCCAGGATTCTTGTGAGGAAAACAGGCAGGAGCATTATGTACATCATTTAAATTGTACAAAACAGAGGTGGGATATAAATCTAAGAAAATAAGAAAATACTTTGAACATTTTAAAAAGAAAAAAAATTTATTGTGTTTACCTGATATTAAATATTGTCATTTTTTAAATAGCAATAGCACTTATACTTATATACCACTTCATAGTACTTTACAGCCCTCTCTAATTGGTTTACAGAGTCAGCATATTACCTCCAACAATCTGTGTCCTCATTTTACCAACCATGGAAAGATGGAAGGCTGAGTCAGGATTGAATTGCTGCAGGCGACAGAGTTAGCCTGCAATACTGCATTCTAACCACTGTGCCACCACAGCTCATAGTTGTATAGTTGTATAGTTCAGTGATGGGATTCAATTTTTTTTACTACAGGTTTTGTGGGCGTGGCTTGGTGGGCGTGGCAGGAAAAGGATACTGTAAAATCTCCATTCCCACCCTACTGCAGGGGAACAATACTGTAAAATCTCCATCCCCTCCCCACTCCAGGGAAAGGTTACTGTAAAATCCCCATTTCCTCCTGATCAGCTGGGATTCAGGAGGCAGAGAATAGATGGGGGCGGGGCCAGTCAGAGGTAGTATTTATCAGTTCTCAGAACTACTCAAAATTTCTGCTACCGGTTCTCCAGAACTGATCAGAACCGGCTGAATACCACCTCTGGTATAGTTGTAAAGTAACTCAAATCCCATCGGAGTTAGGCCTCTTATACTCCAATATATGCTTAAATTGGAGACAGTGATAACAATATTCAGGTGCCTGTTTATTGATGTCTTTCTAGATACCAATTCTTCTGGATTATAGATACAAGAAAATTGGTTCTCTTTTGCTTTTTCCAATTCTTTTTAAAGTAGTGTTTTTCTATACATGGTAGCAGTAACCAATGTTCTTTTAATATAATTATATACAGCAAAGGATGCTGAGTTTTTGCCAAACCATGTACATATTGTATATTTTTCAGCGAGGATATGCATCTTCTGCCAGTGCTGCATTTTTCATGAATCTTTCCCTTATGTTATGAACTGAAATAGTTATTTCTTATTGTACATTATCTGTCCTTTATGTCTTTTCATGCATAGTAGAGATTTTCCTCAAATTATGACCACAATTGGGCTGCAACTTCCTTCCCCTAAGCAAGACAATTGTTAAATGAGTTGCTCCTAATTTTAATGACCTTTTTTGCCACAGTCGTTAGGTGATTCATACAGTTGTTTAATGAATCTGGCTTCCCATTGACTTTGCTTGACAGAAGCTGTCTGGGAAGGTCACAAATGGCAATTACATGACTCTCGGATGCTTCAGTCATCATAAATACATGCTGATTGCCAAGTCCTGAAATTTTCATCACATGAGTGGAAGGATGTCACAGTGGTCACATGTTGACCAGTTACAAGTCACTTTTTTCAGCACCATCATAACTTTGAACAAACACTAAATGAACATAAGTCAAGGACTACCTGTATGTCATTTTCTGGGTGTAGGAATAATCGATGGCACCTGGCGTCTTTATTCAGCAGTAAATATTTTATTGAGATAGCTCCAAAGAAGAAAAAAAGCATTATACCACAGATCCTGAATGTCTGCAGATAAGAAAAGGAATTTTGAAGATTCCTAGATTTCTGTTGTTAGTTACTATTAGTAGTACTGACTTCAAAAAATCAGTAATACTGTTTTTTTTTTGTTTCAGTATAAGGTATACTTTCATGTTTCTATGTCGAATCAAGTAAGTTATACCGATATCTGGGAGTGAATTTACACTGTAACAATCTTTTAAGTCATTCTTTTTCTCTTTGCCCTGTTTTCATGTCTGATCTTGACAAATAGCTATGTTCAGAAAATAATGGGAACACATGAGGGAGTCAATAAATAGCCAGAGGTCAAAACACAGGGCACCACATGACCAAAAGTAAATAGGAGTCAATGTGTTGTATGAATCAAAACTGGAGAACAAAAACAGATTCCAAATGCCAAGGTAATTGAGAATCAGGAACAATATTTTATATTGTTACATCCCAACAATACAACCCAGTCCTTAGGATACATCAATAACCAATTACTTTCTGATGCCTTTTCTATTCCTGCCCATTTTAGTTTAAGTAATTTCAGGAATGTAAATTAATTTTTCTCTAAATTGTCTCCTAGATTCTCAACCTCTACCTATCTGTACAAATATGTATTTGCTATCATGGTTTCAGAGACTTCCAAATATTTCAGGCTGAAATTCACATCCTGTTAAGCTATTTTTAAATAAGATAGCTAGCCGCCTTTTCCAACTCCGTCCCATTTCAACTAATAATGGATTTTTTTTTTATTTTCAATTCTCCTTTGAAATAGCATGCATATTGAGCTGCCTCCTGTTCATTCAGTATCTCTTAAATTAGAACTGCATTGTAGTCGAAGGATATTAAAAGAAGAGCTTTGGAATTTTAATTTCATTAAGTGATGTAGAAATATACCTTAATTTTTTTTTTAAATGATAATTTTCCTGGCAATCTTTTAATTGGGAACTTTGCCCACACACTCAATTGATTTTATACTTCTGCTGTGGAGTATGTCCTTGAAATTTTGGAAAAAGCAAATCAGTATAATGATTTGAGACAGCCTCCAGAAACTAATAGAATCTAAACCTTTTCTGAATGTCTTGTGAATTTTTCTAGATAATCCAGCCAGTGTTTTTGTCAAGGCCCTATTGTAAACAGGCTATTGATACAATTGCACTTAAGCATTATTAGTTAAACATTAATCACCCAGAGTTGCTGGAAGTTGGTAGCATATAAATTTAATAACTTTCATCACTTTCTTCATTATTGTGAAAGCCAGAAGACCTCCTGAACACTGACAGGAAATGTAGCTGCTCAAGAAAGAATTAGAACATAAAGGATAGAAAACTTGCCATGTATACAATAAACAGGTGTTAAAACATATTATAATACCTGTTGTGAAATTAAAAGCTGCAGATAAGCCTTTTGTGCCACCAGTGTTGCATCTTTGAGTAGATATCCAAAGGACTCACATGTTTTGATGTGTGGGAGCAAATAGACAGTTATTGTAATTTATTTGCAAGAGATTTGAAGGATAAAATCATTTATTTACATGCTGTCAAAATGCCAAAAATTAATACTAGTTCAAATTAGATGTTCATTGTTTCAACCTAGTGCAATTTTATGAGATCACTTTTAGCAACTTGTGCATCCAATCATATGCCCTGGTGTACCTGTCCTTCATAGCTGATTTAGTCTTGTCAGAAGGCCTTGAGTAAATGAATCCATGTATGGTAAATGAGTTTCCATCAGGCTTATGCATCAGAATTTGGCATTAGTTTCTAGACACTGGTGACATTAAAGTTGGAGGAATAGAATTGGTCTACAAAGAAGCTACATTTCAGTTCCAATGCCAATTCATTGGCATAGTTTTCCTGTAAACATTTTCTCCCTCTTTGTCCTTCAAAAGATTATAAAAAGAGCTTTAAAAAGATTTTGTAGAATAATATGCCTTGTGTCATTGGGATATTATCGTGGTTCTGTTCCTAGTGACTTGTATATAGCTTTTCACTTCTTTCATTTATTATTTATATGGTACTGTTTTCTCCATCATGGAGTGTGCAGTGTATGATCTTGTAGATTCTCCTTAATACTTGCAGTATTCCTCAACACCATCTTTTTTGTATTTAGATTGTTTTCATTTGTATCTAGAAGGCCATATATGGAAAAATATGTTAAGTATATATTTCTGTTCCTTTCTGCTGTTCAATATCTATATGATGCTTTTGATAGATCATTAGGAAGTTAGGAGTTATCAGTATGCCAAAAGCACGGAGATCAGTTCCTCTGTATGTATTATTTGAAGATATCAGAGAGCAGGCAGGTCTAAATTAATATTTTTCAAACTTGGCAACTTTAAGATGTGTGGACTTCAAGTCCCAGAATTCTTCAGTCAGCATGGGAGGTGAAGTCCATATATCTTGAAGCTGACAAGTTTGAGAAGCATTGGTCTACACTGATACGTAGGTGCATTGGTTTCTGAATGAAGGTTAATAAATTAGAGTGAATCCTTACAAGACATTCCCTTGTAAAGAAATTGAGGAATTTATATGGTTTGGATAGAATTACAGTTCTGAAGGAACAGGTACATAATCTGGAAGTTTTACCACTATCACAGATAAACTCTACATTATGAGTAGTGGGAGGCAGTTCTGGTTAATTTGCAAGCTCCCTCTTTATGTTACAGGGATAACCAGGCCAGAGAGGGCTCTTCTGATGTAATATATATAGGCTGCATTCAGAATTGACCCAAAAGCACAGCTATTACAAAAACTCTAGCAAAGTTGCTGAACTGTACAGTCTACTATAATGTTATTCTGAAAGAACTGCAGTGACTGCCAGTTTACTGTCAACCAGGTTTAGAGTACATGTAATGACATAAGATCTGTTTGGTATAGAACATGGATATATGATGCTCTCTTTTCATGTGTGTACTTCCTGCCAAAGAAATAGGATACCCCCTTGCGCATGCCCCATATTCCATGACCAATCTTAATACAAAAAAAAACAGTTATGGAGTTTCTTCCTTGTTCAGTTATAGTCAATACCAAGCTTTTTAACCTTCTGGAGACAGCTGAAGGTTTACTCAGACATTTGGTTTAATTGGTGCTGCTTTATCTGTCTAGATTAGATTGCTATTCTTGTTTTATGTGTTACATTTAATGGTTGTTAGAGCTATTGAATTATTATTATTGTTGTTTTTTAACTCATTGTGAATTATTTGTTATTCTTGTAACAAATCGTAGCCTACTTTGAAATT